TCCAGCTGTGTTTTTATTTTAAAACTAAACAACTCACCTCGGTGACTCAGACTCATAACCCTTTTATGACTATTAAACAATCCAGGGATATACAGCCTGTGTAGATTTTTAATAAGAAGCTAATAAAGTGTTCTTTTACTACGTATCAGTTGTTAAAATATATGTCTTTAATGCATCATAATGGCCCCTGCTGGCTGTCAGGTATTTAACCTTAAAAAGTCTTGTACAGTTGCGGAATTTCTAGCGTTCTACGTTTCTGTGAGTAAACAAACAAACAAACAAAAAAAATACATTTCAAAACGTATAGTTACGGTTTACTGATGACCACCTCCATAAAACTTGTAGGTATTACACAAAACCTGGCTTATAAATGTACATTTGAAAATTATATTTTTGCTGTTGGTAGCTGAGCTTTTATGTTTGTAACACTGTTCACTATATATACAATACTCAAGATATACATTAGAGTGAGTATAAGTTAAACACCCAGAAGTAATGGTCCGATTTGGACGTAATGTGTGTCTATGGACTGCCTGCGTCACGTTGAGGTGCTCCCAAACCCAGCCAGGTCCCCCATCTTTCCCCAGTCAAACATGTGTAGGAGCAGCTTGGACATCAGCTTAGACCCAGTGCCAATTACAGGGCCAGTTACAGCAGCTGTGGGCCAACTTGCCACGGGAGAGGATACAACGGCTGTACGACTCCCTTCTGCACCGTAGCGCCCTATGTATCCAGGCGTGGGGGGGCGGGGGGGGGTGTGCCCATACTGCCAACTCCATTAGATCTGATATTATAATCATTAATAATAATACAGCAATACAGTCACATGACCTTTCACCACGTGCAGATTCAATTCATTTCCACCACTCTGCCTGGGTGCTTAACTTTTTTTGTCAGTGAGTGTATATAAGACAAAGGGGTGACCCTAAATGTGTATACACATTATGCCCCCCCCCCCTACACAAACACTGCATTGAGTCAGATATTTGACCATTCCTCAGGAAACCCCCCCCCCCCAGTTCCTTGAGGACTGAAGGAGGTGGAAATGAGCTTCACACTCTGTTCAAGGATATTTACATCTGGCGATGCGACAGGGCATGGAAGACCTTTCATTTCATCATGGCGTTTATGAAATCATACCTGAATTTGCTTAGCAGTGCCTCTGGGGGCAGTATAATCTTGGAATGTGGAAGCACCGTGAGGGAACTGAGTTTACACCATAGGGTTCACCTGCTCTCATATTCATTAGTCGTTACTGGACCGTGCAGAGCAACTCTCATACCTAATGTCTCCGATGAGATGGCTGCCCTTTCCAATAGGCATGAGGTAAAGCCGTCCTTTGACTACAGTAAAATCCTGTCGTAACGGACTTCAAGGGACCTGGCAAAACAGTCCGTTATATCCAGATTTGCTGTATGCCCAGAACACAACTACAGGACACCATTTACTCATGCCACACCTCAGCAGACACACTTGTGATATAGATTATTATATTGTACAATTCAATTTCAATTCAATTCTTTATTGTCATGTGTACAAGTACAAGTACCGTGTACAATGAAATGCTTACTTGCATGAGCTCCTGCAGACAGTGAACATAGACAGCAAGACAGACAACATGATGACATGAGATGACATGAATGATAAAGTGAATTTTAAATAAGTAGAATAAATAAGACCAAAAGACAGAGAGAAGTATATGTATGGGTAGCAGTGGAGGTGACACAGGTTACTGATTGTTCATGAGTCTGATTGCAGTTGGGTAGAAACTGTTCCTAAACCTGGAGGTGTGCGTCCGAATGGACTTCAGTCGCTTCCCAGATGGTAGGAGGGTGAAAAGTGACAGTGCAGGGTGGCTGGGGTCTTGCCTGATACGTTTCACTTTCCTGAGACATGTAGTAATCCAACTTTACCTGACCAGATGCGTGACTATTAATAATCCCGACTCCGCATCTGCGCTGGATGTCACCGGCATGCCACGCGCCTTCTCGCCGGAGCCTGCATGTCCGTTATAGCTGAACAAAACTACAGCTAAAAGCGGCCCTGGGGACCAAATTGTTTGTCCGTTATAAGCGAAATTCCGTTAAATGCCAGTCCGCTATATCCGATGCTTTTTCTGTATGTTCTTAAAGGCGCACCGCCGGGACCAGTGGACCTCATCCCTTATAGACGATATTCTGTTATAAGTGAGTCCGCTATAATGGGATTTTACTGTATTCCCAAATATAAACAGGGAATACAGGGAAAAGGAAAGGGTGACTTATCAGACCTTTACCATTCCATGGGGGTCCATATTACACCAGGCTATGTAATTTTAGTGTATTAGCCTTGGATATAAGCTGTGGCCTTACTGACAGCCCTGCCATAAATTCTTGCGTTTATTGTGAAGTTCTCGACCTACTGTTTTTGGTGATTAGGTGTCAAAGCGGTCCGGATTCCCTTGAGGGGTGAGGCCCCGTTTTTGTGGTGTGTAACACCCAAGGCCATCGATATCTGTAGGGGGGACTTTGAATTGTGATCACTGTTCCCTTTTACTGGTGCAATTTTTCTATGCGTGGCCCATGTTGTCATTATTTTGAAACTAATGTCTTAGACACATTAAATAATTTTCCTGGTTTCTGATCGTTGCACCTACCTGATCACTTTTGCAGTCTATCAAAGCTATCTCATTTGGCTTTGAAAAGTCATACATCACTGTGATAATTTGCCGACCACATTTAGAGCCAGGTCATACTGCAAACTGGCACTCAGCATAATGAATTCACTCATGCTACTGCTTTATAATTATGATTAATTTACTTCAAAGTCATTTTTTCATTTCATGTTCATTTTTCCATATCAGGTACCTAGTAGGTGTCTCACTGTCACCCATGTTGCATGATAACTTCAGGGATGAAGGTTTGGATCTAGCCTGCACTGTGTGTGTGTGTGTGTGTGTGTGTGTGGTCCAGGTGTACCTTACCTTGTGGGGACCAAATGTCCCCACAACATTATGAATACCTATTCTTTTTATATGGGAAAACTCTATTTTATAAAAATCCGTGACTGCAAAGAAAAAACTAAAAATGCAAAAACTCTTGTATTTTGTTTGGTTACTTATGGTTATGGTTAGGGCTTGGTAGGGGTTACGGATGTCATAGTTAGCATTAGCATTTTTCCCATAGAAATGAATGAGTGGTCCCCAAAAAGATATGATTGCATTGCAAAGATATGATGAAGAGTCTATCTCTCTCTCTCTCTCTCTCTCTCTTTCTCTCTCTCTCTCTCTCTCTNATATATATATATATATATATATATATATATATATATAATATATATATATATATATATATATATATATATATATATATATGTATAAATTAACTCAGTGCAAGACGTATTTTGTTAAATATTCATAGGCCAGGAAGTGTGGCTATACATTTGAAAGAGTGAATATTCAAGCACTTTTTCCCATACATGTTTTTATGTTGTATATTTAATTTCCCCGGGTTAAATAAAATATATATTCCTGTTTAAAGATTGCTTGTACATGTAAGGACTTTGGGAAAAAGTTCTGATGACTCCACCTGTAGACAATGTGCAGCAATTTCAGCCTGTTTTGCTAGTAACAATATATATATATATATATATATAGTATTTTTGCATTAGATGTATATGCTCCCCTGCATTTCTCATTAATGCCACTGCAGCTCCTGTCCCTCATGCAGCAGGCTGAATGCGGTCCACCCAGGACAATATTACATCAATAGCAAAAAAACGAGAGATTTAATGAAATTAGAGCATCTGTGCACCAAATAAATATATAAATAAATACGTAAATAAATACAAATAAGGGATAAAATAATAAAAAAAACAAATAAATAAGCAAATGAATGAATGAATAAAATCAATCTTGATTTAAAAAGGAACGTAATATTTATTTATTTAGTTCTTGGCTTCACTTAGGTTACTACTCGCGAGCACAGCCCGTATGTAGTTCGGTGTTCAGACCACAGAACATCATTTTCTCAACCATAGGAGACAGGTTGCAAATTTCAATGCATCGCTACATTGAATTTAACAATAATGCCTTAAGGTAGAAAAGAAAAGAAGAGTCTGCAAGACTTTTTTCCCAATGTTCTCCAATTTATGCATGAACATCATAAAATATCACATATTTAAACATCTGCAGGCATTCAGCCCACATACAAGCTGCAATACCTGACCCAGGATCAGGCAAGTGTAATAAAATACTTCCCAAGCAGCCACTTAATCCTATTCCTTATATATTTATCTAAAACAAGATCTCAGCTTGAATCATTTGCAGTCGAAATGCTATATGGCATTAAAATAAAGGTAACAATTAAGATACACATCGATGTAACAAATTCAGTGTAAATTATAGTCGGCCTATGCATTTTTAAATGTACTTTAAAAGTGCACATCTTATATTGGTGCCGAAACAGCGTTTCTTCTAGAAGCTGAAGTACCGCAGAAAGAGGATATCAGATCCTGCTTCAGCTTCTCTCTCTTACTCTCCTCTCTTTTCTGTGGTTGCTGAGCGCTTCTCTTCCCACAACCCATGTCTATGTACAAGAGAGCCGCTGAATAAGTGGCAGCCCCTTTCTGTCTATCGCGTTTAAGAGCAAAAAATCAAATAATAATAATAATTATAATATATGTTTTTTTTTTCTTTACTTAAAGTTCACGTTACGTTTTAGAGGTATGTGTTTTTTATTCTTTTTTCGGATTTTCCTTCGCGTATAAAAGGCGGCGTTAAGGAGCACCTTCATGCATATTCTCATTGATATTTGAGGCTTTCGGTCGGTGGAGCTGGTGCTTTGCCGGCGTCGATCGCGGCTTTTGCCGGTAGGTCCGGCATGTCTTTGCCGGCCGAAGCGGCTCCGCGGTGACCGGCGTGCGCGTCGCTCCCGTCATCCAGCCCGCGTCTCACCGCGGCTCGCAGCTCCGGGCTCGCAGTGCGCTGCCTGGGGAGGGGGGGTGGGGGCATTTCCCTAAAAGAGCAACTTAGATGCATCGCATAATGAGATAAAAACTGGCAGAGAAACAGAAGAAAAGAGAAATAATCCTTTTTGGTTTTTAGTCCTTCTCATCGGCTTTGCTGCTGCTTAGGTCATTTCAGCACCGCGAGCAGCGGACAGCGACTGCCGTCGGGAGAAAGAAGGGAAGAAGAAAAAGTGAAGCCGTTTTCTGCCTGGATTGTACTGGAAGCTGATTGTTGGTGGGAAAAAAGCCTGTATTGCGTGGAGGAATATATACCAGTAGATCAGTCCCGTTTTAGTCAGGCTTTAACATTTTCACGTATTACCCTTCAGCTCCGGATACCGGCGCTGCCATCCGATGTGATTCTGGAGAGCTTTCTTAAGAAAGCACTTCATCGACAAATAAATAAACGATTTTCCCCCCCCACATTTCGGATTAGAAGGATTGATGAACGGGCAGCGTTTACAGCCAATATCTCTTTACCACCTGTTAACAGAATATCAGGTAAGCACATTTTTATGTTCTTTCATTTGACGGCACGTAAATACTGTTATAGAATTTATGTAAAGAATTGCTGTGACTGTTGCAAGTAAAACTAAGGACATTGATTTCTCAGTTGTACTGGATCTGTAGGATTTCGGGGTTTTATTCAACAGCCTTAACAGTAACAAAAGAGCACATAAAGACGGGCTTTGGCAGTATTGAGACGTTAATAAGGATTATTAATAACTGCGTTAAACTTGGTCAGTTGCGGGCGTTTGGCGTCTCAGGTAGCTGTACTTTGAGACCAACTATATCTCTAGGTTTCGTATATCGCATTTTCACTGAGCAGCACGTATTTAAAATTAAATAAATAGGCCTACATTATTTAAAATTAAAACAGTGCCGGGGGGGATCAATGACAGCAAAAAATTGATAGCAGTAACATGTAACATTATGAAACAAACAAAAGTTTGTAATATATTGTCAGTAATGGCACTACAACAACAAATAATAATAATAATAACAATAATAATAATAATAATAATAATAATAATAATAGCATTCGCTAAGAAAGTGTCACGGCTGTATAACAGCTTTGCCAGAAATCCCAACCATTACAGCCAGCCGTTGTAACGATAGCTCATACTTCCCATTTAATGAAAAATACCTTTTTTTGTCATTAGAAAAATTCACACTATAAGTTATAAATGCTGCTGTTTTGTTCGGAAACGTACTGTTTTGTTCGGAGATAAATAATTTATTCTGAAACACGGTCTTTTGCTCGACCTACCGTAGGTGGCGATTCAATAAGAGCAAAGCGGTTTGACCTCAACTTTCAATGAGAATGGATGACACTTTCTTTTCTCAATAGTTACATAACGGCCCCACAGATTTTCCGCAGACTTCATTTTAGAAATCAGAGAGAAGTTATATGGTACGATCTCTGATTCGAAGGAAATAATTATTGTAAATGAAGATCTTCTCTCCATAACTATTTCCTAATACAACATTTTTGCATATGGTGAACACAAGCTACAGAGACGTGTAAATTTTGTATTTCACAACTGTTTAAATAATCAGATGAATACAGTCGATTTTATTTATTTGACAGGTTGACCTTATAATGAATGATTTCACAATTTTGCAACCTAATATTTGTCATAATGTAAAAAATATCAATAGTTAATTGTAAGTGTTTCTCTTATAGAGCCAAATTTGCCCAGTCCCCAGTTTTCTAACCAGTAGGAGATTTGATAGACACTTCAGCTGCCTGCTTGAGATATGACTGAGAATGAGGAAGGCCAGGACAGTGTTCCTACACACCTAAACAAATGCTTTCTATCTATATGGGCTGCTTAATAGTTTTATCGAATTTTGCCATTTTTTGCAATTTTACTCTGGGGTGGGGGTGGGGGGGGATGCAGCAGCATAGAAATTTCTGGCTTTGAATGATAGCAGAGGGGATAGACTCAGGGATGGAGAGGTGTTGATATGTTATAGATGATGAATTAATGCACAGCTCGCTCTCGGTCTGAATGCCAGGCTTCAGTCGCCACAAACTCCTGGCAGGACTTACAGGAGCATTTGCTGATGGGGAGTGAGCGGCACATCAGCTCGATCTCCCTGCACATGCTTATTCATTCAGTTTTCTACAGGATGGGGGCAGTTATACTACATCAGGAGGGAAATGCTGTCCTTCAACTCATCTGAAAGCTCAGCAAGTAAAAATCATTTGTCATATGACGAGAATGGGCTGGGCTCTGTCAGATTTTACGTGCAATAGAAGCATTCGGATTCTCATAACTATATTTATTTCTGTTGATTTCCAAATAATGACGCGCGTGTGTGTGAAGAGAGTGAGGGCGAGAGAGAGAGAGAGAGAGAGAGAGAGAGAGAGAGAGAGAGAGAACAGTACATACATATATGTTTGTCAGTGTGGTTAAGATAACATTTCCAAATAATTAGCACAGATTTTTTTTTAATTACCTTGTGTAAAATGAAAAGTAATTTAATTGAATTTCATTTGACTATATATGGAAAGCCATACAACTGTTGTTTAATCGTGCCTTTTGAATTAAGTTCATTTTTGTGCATTAGTTTACACAACAGTCTATTTATGTCAGTCTGTATGTGGTGACATTTGAGGGCGAGCGCTGTGCTGTAATTCGCTGTGAATGCTCGACTGTCTAGCTGCAATTCAAATCCTTCTGAGAAAAAGAGTCACTGCTGTACAAGGAGCCATCCTCCAGGCGAGATTGGTCGTCATGGAAATGAATTACACGGCGAAACTGCATAGACGTTTCGCGGATACAGTAAATGTGGTACTGCACTCACACTCAGGCCGCAGATTAGAATCTGTCCATAGTAGAATCTGGATACAGTAATCTGAAGTCATTATAGTTTAATAATGTGCTGAATAATATATTACTCTGAAATATAGCAATGGTTCAGATATAGCAACTATATACCTGAATATTTCAATGGGGGCCTAATGTCCCACTTAAGATTCAGAATGAGAGCTACTGTTCCCCTGCTTCCTGTTTAATGGTACTCAGTACAGCATAATTCACCTATTTGTCTTCGAAAATTGAGTTGAAATATTTTGGATTGAAAAGGCAACTTTTTCTTTAAAATACATAGTGGCAAAAATATCTGGTCATCTGGAACAATGTATTTATAAGATCAAAATTAATAATGCAGCTCAGGTCATGAGCCGGGTTGGGTTTTAGTACAGAATAAAAAAACTCATGACTTAGACACAGCTTTGCACAATTATTTTACATTTCACGACTACGGTGAGCGTCACGCTAGCACCATCTCTGCATCTTGCTTTACATGTGTTGTTGCTGATTAATTGTCATGTGAGGGATGAAGGACACGAGGGCAGGTGTCAGGAGGACAAAAGCAGCTTTAAAAAGGAAGCAGAAGCAGGGAAACAAACAGGACCGCGAGGGGTCAAAACGGGAAGACTGACTCTGGGAAGGGCACAGGCAACAGGAGGACTGAGGACTGGGAAGTATGTATATATATTACACAGGACTAACGAGGGACTGATACAATTCAAGTGTTGATGTTTAGCACATTAGGATTGGGGATTGTGAACAGGACACAGCTGGGAAAAAACCAGGAGGATTCTGGAGGACCAGCAGTGTCCCCTGCTGGTCACACCGGGGGATGGACAGGACGGGTTGTGACGTAGCCGCCCCCAAAGGCATGCATTCTGAGCATAGGAGACACCACCATGACCTGGATGGGACAGATGGGATTGAAGATGGGACAGACAGGGCGCAACCAGACCAACGGAGCAAACACCAGGCAAGACAACAGGGGCAAAACCTCAGGACATACAGCAGGACTAAGGGCCCAGAAAAGGAAGGGGTAGGACCAGGGACCAGAGGGGCAGCAGGACACGACATGTTCCAGGACAGGAACAAGTGGAAGGGGGGCAGTAGAGACAGGATGGAAACATAAGAGGGAACCACAGGGAACAAAGACCATGGGGAAATTAACAGGCATTAAAGCGCAACAGCAGGAAGCAGGGAATGACTGAGGAGTCTTCCAGACCCTGGAGAACTGGGTGGCAACCCAGGGACGTGGACCCCTCTGGGCCAAAGGCAAGGGTCTCGAAGGACCAGCGGGGCTGGGTGGCACCGAGGAGACAGCAGGGCAACAGGGGGTTGAGAGCAGGGCTGGAGGGCACTGAGGGGACTCCAGGGTAAGAGGAGGGATGTAGGAGTGCAGCCTAGGTGGTCAACACTGCATGGTTGGGTGGCTGGCATGGATGGTGTACCCTGATCTACCCCTCTGGAGAACAAACAGCAAGCCAGCCTCTGTCTTGGGCCCCAGCTGATACCTGTGGCTTCCCTGAAACCTGGAACCAAATTGACCTAAGACTTTGCAGGGGCCTATGGAGTGGAAGCTCAGTGGAAGCTCAGAAGCTCAGAGGGTCCCACTGTGGGTCTTCCAAAAGGGGCATCCCCTTGGCGGTGGGCATGGAGTCAGGCGTCGGGCTGGCAGCGGCTGTGAAGTTTGGCACCTGAAGGATATCAGAAGACAAAGCCAGCAAAAGCAAGACACCAGGAGAAGAAGTGGGCATCGGCGGGACATCAGGAGATGAAGCTGGAGATGAGCGGGCTAAGCTGGGAGACCTGGAGGCAAGTGGGGCTAAGCTGGGAGACCTGGAGGTCAGCTGAATATAACTGGGATAACTGGAGGCAAGCAGAGCAAAGGAGACCCCTTGGGCAAGGGCCCTGGGCCGCAGGCGAGTTTCCCTCTCTGGGCCGGGAGCTTGGAGTATGGATGGAGCTGCCCTCTCTGAGCTGACGACGAGGGACTCAAGGGTACGGCTCCTCTTGGGTGGAAGCTTGGAAGATCAAGAGGAATTGGTGCGGCCAACTTCTTCCTCCTCTTGCGATAGGGGCCAGATACGGGTGGCAGCTTCTACGGGGCAGGCGAGATGGACTCCATCTGCATGGGGCCAGGCAAGATGGGCTCTGTGTGCATGTGACCAGGCAAGATGGAAGATGTGGGCACAGCCAGCTTCTTCTGCTTTCTCCTTCTGTGGCTAAAAATGGTGGGTAGAGCTGCGGGGAGCCAGCAAGCGGAGAACCTTCACATCGCAGCAGTGGGCCCAACATGTTCTCGCTTGATCACCTGCCGCAGTGCCTTCATCAGGTGCCAGACAGTCTCCATCCCCTGGGGATCCACATCGCGGGTGAGTCCGGACAGCGCCCTCTCCCCACACAGGAAGAGGGTTCTGGCCACAGGGGTCCACCATACCGTGGTATCATACCTCCACACAAGATGTTCGTCCAGGAGGATGAAGAAGTCCTCAGATTTCTTGCGAGGGGGCACTGGAGGATCCCATGGCTCTGGTGACTGGATTCCCCACAGACACAGGAAATCTGGTCCGTGGGAAGCAGGAAGGCCTGAAACCCAGGACTGAGGTAACATTTGCAGGGGTTCCTTGGTGAGTCTGGTCATTCTATCACATCGAACTCATATATCACGGGAGGACTGTC